AAATGTAATTTTGCGAGGAAATATTTTTGAGCAAATATTTTAGAAACCAAGCCCCAAATCAAAATTTTACACGAGCAAATTTTTTCCATTTATTAAAAACTTGACCTAAACATTTATTTATTATTTTAAAATTTCCAGTGGCGTCTAAGACTGAGGTGAAAAGGGGAGCAGCCCCCCAAGTAAGTGCGGCACTGATTATCTAAATCATTATTAAAAACTGGACCATCCTGTACAATAATGATTGATAAGGTTTATTATTATGCCACCAATTAAAAAAAAAACGTTAAATTTATTATATGTCTAATTTCAACCTTGAATAACTATAAAAGAAGTGAATTTATGAAAAAATTATAAGAGACATTTTTTGTAGAGCGTTCAATTTTCTTTAAAAATATGTACCGCTTATTCCAATATGTTCACTCAAAAACGAGTTCTAAAATTTCAAAGTTAAGAAAAAAGAATTCCTGTGTTATTTAAACGTAAAATAGAAATTCACGATGAGCGACCTCTAAATATTAATATTAAGAGCTACAATTTTCACAGGCTTCTTTTTTTACTACTAGGAAGATATTTCAATGCGGGCTTTGAAGAAAAAAAAATATTCGATTTTTTTGAACCAGTCTAATATATATATATATATATATATATATTGTAGCGAGTACCGCTCTGGATATCGGAGTGATGACTCATCGCCGGTTAGTCATCGCCGATGAGTCATCGCCGGTGACTCAGCGCTCGAACAATCGAGAGTGTGGAGCTCGCTGGAATGTTCCAGAAGACCTTGGCGCTGAATATATAAGAAACGGAGCAGCACACGGCAGTCAGTTAAGATTTGGTACTCGCGGCGAAATAAATAAATATAAGTGCAAATAAATAAACTAGTAGTGATATAAATAATTAGTAGTTAAGTGTTTAGTTAGTTTTATAGTGTTTTAAGTGTAGTTAAGTTATTAAATAAATAGTTTAGTTCGTTAATTAACCAGTGCGTGTTTTAATTCACACTACGAACAGTTAAAAACGTTACAATATAAATGTGCAAAACTCTGTATAAGATTAAAATAATTTTAAAATGCATCTATAATGGTTGCCTATCCATTTAGTAAATATATATATTTTTAACTATGCAGTCCAGCTGTTATCGAGTCTGTTAAATTATGTCGCGAATAGTGTGAATAACATTTTATTGGATAGCCCTTAAAAAAAATTATGACGTGATGTGAAAAAACGCCGAGACACGGGTATCATTTTTTTAACTCTATTTTTAGAATCTGTAGAAATTTTTCATGGGAGGGACCAAAAATCAAATTTTGTCGTACTGTGTTATTGGCGATGAGAAACTATTTATTACTTTTGTATTTTTGTATTGAGATATTAAAATAATTTTCACATTTAGTATTATTACTATATATATATAGGGACATTCCACGAAAATTTGAACTTTTTTGTAAAAATTAAACATTTAATATTTAATATATAAATATTAAATTTTAAATTTTAAAGGCTTAAAATATACAAAAACAATACAAACTAAATATTAAAATTAAAAAGCAGTATTTATTTATTAACTTGAACTTATTTAATTCGTTTATTTATTTTCAATGTAAAATATAAGTAAATAATTTGGCTTTAAAGCAATTGTATTAATGATCTGGTTCTTTTTAAGGACTTTCTAACTTAAAATTTATTTAAATAAGTGTTTATTGTTAAGCTTGTTTAACGTTTATCAAAAGAAGGTAAGTTATTATTTGTTAAATTAATTGTTTTAATTGACATGCCTATTTGTCCCACCCGTCACAAAAAAAAACAAAATAGTTTTGATTTTAATAGAAATAATAATTTTTTTGAAAGCAAATTTTAATAGCAAATAAAGTCAATAATATCAAATATTTGGGGGTAATTTTAAGTCTATTAATTAAAATTTAAATTTTTTATAAATTATCATAATTTGACCCACCTGTCACACTACGGCGTGTTTTGTAACTTTTTAAGTTAATCTATTTAAAAATCAGTTAGGTATCAGTTATTGTTAATGCAGGTGCAGTAGGTAAAATCCAATTTTTCTGCATCTAAATTTAATAAATATTTATACTAGGTATAATTTTAAAAAAATTGCGTTTTTATACTTTCTTTAAATAATTAAATAAAATACCAATATATAAGGTTTTTTGATTTTTTTAAATTTAAATAAGATGTACCTATATATATAATATAAATATATATATATATATATATATATATATATATATATATATCCTTGCTTGACAAACAAATATAAATCTTATATAAAAATACATCTTATTTAAATTCAAAAAATTCAATATTCAAACATTGTTAAAAATGGACTACAAAAACTAATAAATAAGGTTTTTTCTTGTCACCCTTCGAAATGCTAAAACTATCTTTTATTTAGATATGGATTCAGCTGAAGCTGCACGAAAAAGTGGAGATAAAATTAAAACAGACCCTATAAAATATATAAAATTTATAAAAAATTAAAAAACTAGGGATATAAATTTATATTTTTCAATAAGTTTTTTCAATAAGTTTTTTCTTTCAGCCCTTCTTTAAAGAAGGGCTGAAAGAAAAAACTTATTGAAAAATACAGAAGATTTAAACGCTGCCTGTGTGTGGCTAAATATCGCCAAAGAAAAGATTTCGTATGCCATTTTAAGTAATAATTTATCTCATGATAAGTCTTTAGTCTGCAGACTAGTCCATGGACTTTTACAAAGAAAATAGTTTCCCATTTAAAAATTAAATGCTCCACTTTAGAACATATAACATTTTTTACCGACGGTTGTGCTGGGCAATTTAAAAATCGATATATCTTGTCTAATATATGTAACGCGCCTCATGATTGGGGTTTAAGTGTTGATTGGGCATTTTTTGTTACCAGTCATGAAAAAGGCGCAATGGGTAAGGTTGGAGCATCAGCTCAAAAAATTAAATTTAGAAAAGGACAATTAATACTCCAAAAGAATGTTTTGAGTATTTAAACATCTTAAAAATTTATAATTGTTTTTACATAGATACCTACTATCAAAATAAAAGAGGCTGGCGCAAATTTAGCAGACAAATGGAAGAATATAAAACCCATACCTAATCTTCATTTACAACATTTTTTTAGAGCTGAAAATGAAAATCTTTTACATAGTGTAACAGCATATTTAAAACAAAATCTTCAATGCACATTATAGCTATAACCCTAACCCTAGGGTTAAATAATGTTTTTTCTTATAAATTTAAATTAAATAAAGTAGTAATATATTTCCTAACCTTATTAATTTCAACTTGTCCCACTCGTCACATAATAATGTCCCACCCGTCACATTTTTAATATCGCATTATATTTTTTATTGACTTTATCAACATGTTTTTTAAAAAAATATATAAACGCATTATATAGTACAAAGACTTATGTAACGAAAAAATATTTAAACATATTATAGTTTTGTATAATTTAGCAGAATTTTGCTTCCAAGCAATAAGTCATAAAAATATCGTTTTTTGCTTGTCCCACCCGTCACAATAAAAAATTACTTTATAAAACTAAAAAAGTCTATAAAACTAAATAGTGTGACAAGAAACTTGTATTGTTTATTTAGATGTTGTATGGGTGTTTAAAAATATTAGGGTTCCATGGATAAAAAACCTTAAAATAATAAAATATAAATTAAATAAACATATACAAACTATATATATTATTAATTATTAATTATTAATTATTAATTATTAATTATTAATTATTAATTATTAATTATTAATTATAAATTATTAATTATTAATTATTAATTATTAATTATTAATTATTAATTATTAATTATTAATTATTAATTATTAATTATTAATTATTAATTATTAATTATTAATTATTAATTATTAATTATTAATTATTAATTATTAATTATTAATTATTAATTATTAATTATTAATTATTAATTATTAATTATTAATTATTAATTATTAATTATTAATTATTAATTATTAATTATTAATTATTAATTATTAATTATTAATTATTAATTATTAATTATTAATTATTAATTATTAATTATTAATGTTCTTTAACAATAGTAAATTGTTTTAAAGCACCCTTTCGCACAGATTATAACTTTTTAAAACAGTACAGATAAACAAAACTCCAAAAGTAAACACAAAATCCTTTTGTCAAAATGACAGTTTTAACTTCTATTAATGTAGTCTACATTATGTAGACGTATACTAAATTCGGTTGTACCAACTTAACATTGACACCGCTGATCTAAGTTCAACAGAACTGCTGTTGAGTAGAGATTGAAAAACTCATTTGACTGTAAACATTAACTGATCTAAGTTCCCCTAATAATACGATAATGGGCGTTAGAGTAGAAATTAGTATATTATGTATCAAGTTTTATAAACGCCATTTATTTACGACTTTTATTAGGCTCGAGCAAAGCTTGCGAGCGAGTGTTTAACGAGTTGCATACTACACAAAGAAGAATTTAAAGCCAATTTGACATCTGTCAACTTTAAACGGATTTAACCTACCTTTTCCCCAAATTATAATTAAGCAAACTTCAGCCCGTGACTAAAATACCCAAAAGCCACTATTGCTAACTTCAGCCCGTGACGTCATAAAGTCACAGCTTGTCAATGTAGGAGTAGATAAAACATGCATGATAAATATATACTTATAGGAATAGCTCTTGTAAGAAATTCTTACTAAGAATTTAAATATTTTGTTACTTTAATGGGTCATTTCTATTATGTTAAGATAAGTAAAGTACTTAACTGGAATAAGTGGGCATTTTTAAATTACAATTTTATTAATTTCTGACTGGTTTTGATAGAACGTTCCCCAGTGTGCGCCGCTTATGGCGTGTACCTTAACATATGCAACTAAAATTACATCGAGTTACTTTCTAAAATTAGAGATGGCGCTGTATCCCTAGCAATATATTCTGATGTTGGCAACAAGTATGCAAACTTTTGACGTTTATAAAATTAGTCGAAAATTGGTCGGAGTTGTTGTGATGAAAAAAGTGGAAGTTCTATTGGAAAAAAAGATTAAATAGACATTCATGAATTAAAAAGTGTTAAAAATGATGAATTTTGTGAAATTGCACTAAAGTTTAATCATGTATTTATGTACGCGACAAAGACAACTATTAATAAATAGGTGAAATGGATGAGTATTCTGAAGATTATGAAGAACCCGATTTGAATGAGCAAATTTTTCACAATAATGTCCGGGAGCAAATTGTAAGTGTTGTCGTGTTTTTTATTTTATTACCTACTTCTTGGTCGATAACATTTGAACACGTCAGGCTTTGTTTATATTTTTAGTTAAGATTTAACGTACTTTAACCTTCATGTTCTTAATTTACCTACACAAGGTTAATGGACAATGATTGTAGTGATATAATTGTTTATATCAAATATCCTATTGATGTAGAATAATTGATATAGAATACAAATTCTTAATCAAATGAAATTAAAAACAATTGAATTATTGCTTTAAAATGTCTTTACTAGACTATTAATAACAGTAAAGTAACCAGATTCTGTCAAAAAATAGGGGGACATTTTGTATGAATTTACCTTAATAACAAAATTGACACAATGATACAAATACAATGCAAATTGTAAATTAGACGTTACTTAATTATTGTTGATTGTGTCATTTTTGTAATTAAGGCTAATTTACACTAAATGTCCCCCTATTTTTTGACAGAATCTGGTCACTTTAAATAACAGTCTATTATGAACCTAATCCATGGCTAATAGCCTATTAGTTATGAATATGTTACACCCACTTTACCATTCCTATATATTTTTCTAGATAAAACCTAACTACAAATCTTTAATTTCTTCACAATAAATAACTAGGTCCTAGGGCGTTTTTATAAAAAACATTTATTTGTAAAATTTGTTTAAAGAATCCCTAGGTATATTAAAAAATACATTTACCTTTTTTTAAAACAAACATGTATGTAAGTAGGTAGGTATGTTTTATAATAAAAGTTTATAAAATAAATAAATAAAAGTGCATATATGCACTCAAAAAGTTAAAGAAGTGGTTGGGTAAATTCTAGAATTTTATATTTGAACTTTTTTTGTGCTAAACATTGTACTAATTTTTATGTACTTAGTAATGAATTCTAATCTATAAACCAATATTTTATACCTATGGTTTGAAAATTCCCCTGAAAATTAGGATAATTTCACAATAATTATTATGAAAATTTCGGATATTAGGTATTGTCATTGCCGTGTTTTTCTTTTAGTAGGTAAATTGTAGGGATTAAGAAAATACACATATTTATACCTAAATACTATTTACGGGTATAAATATGTGTATTTTTTTAATCCCTGGGTCATTCCACGTTACTCGGGGATTTTTGTCCCGCCCGTCACAATTAAAAATTGTGAGTAAAAACTACACGTTATAAAATTTATTTAAAAATATTGTTTTATTATGCTTTTAATAAGTTATAACCACAATAAAAATAATATTATAAAATATTTATTTTATAACTTGTGGTTTTTACTCACAATTTTTAATTGTGACGGGCGGGACAAAAATTACCGAGTAACGTGGAATGCCCCCCCTACCCTTTACCTACTAAAAGAAAAACACGGCAATGGCAATACCTAAATAAGAAATATTGTTAAAATATTTATTTTAAAAATTTAGTAAATACAGAATTTAATTAAAACGAATTAAAATGACTTCAAGCATGAAATGTCGCAAATCAAATCTTAATTGTATTATAATATTATGCAATTAAGTTTTATTTATTTTTACACATTTAAATGTAATTACCATGTTTAATATTTAATTTGGTTAAAGAATATGGCATGTACTTTGGTATTAAAAATATTCATTGTACACTAACAAGCAAAAGCATTGCATATTTTTAATGCAAAAAAGTGTTTAAATGAATATAAAAGAAAGCGCTATAATTAAGTAAAAATATGAAATACTTGCTTATAAGTTCATTAAGATCAACCGATATATACATATATATTAATTATAAATAATCGATTTAATCCAAAAACAATTTTATTAATAATAACGGTATAATTTTATTTTAGTTTTTATTTAAAATATTTAAAAACCTGCATTGTTTTAATATTTTAAGCACATTTTAAAATTTCAATATTTATTGGATTCGTTGTATAAAAGTTTCTTAAATGGGTTTAATAAATATTTCCCACATTTTCGGGAGAAGTAGGTATGTACCTACCTATTCCCTAGTATGTATTGTTCCTCCAGTTAAAGCGGATAAAAATAGTTGTGAAGTACAAACTGATAACAAAGTTCAAACTTCAAGTGTGCGGCAATTCCTAACAATTGTAAAATCGTACACGTCATACAATTTTAGGTATAATATTTTATTTCACTGATTGCTCAATAAGAAAAGCTTGACTAAAAAAATATGCAGTTACAAATTATTTAGTGATCAGCGATGCCAATCCTTTACCAATCACATCAATAAAACATGGGCTTAACCATTCTATTAAAATTTTTAACCTTTGGCAAACTTTTTGGTTTAAATGATGGAAAGAAATAAAAGCATATTAATTAATAACTTAATTATTAAGTTTTTATCGAGGTTTGGCAAACTTTTTGGTTTAAATGATGGAAAGAAATAAAAGCATATTAATTAATAACTTAATTATTAAGTTTTTATCGAGGTTTTTCTTTATTATATTTCCATACAAAATGTTGAATCAAATGAACAGGGGTACAGGGTGCTCCGAACCTTTATTTATTATTTATTCTATAGAGTAGGTAGTTGTATAAAAGAAAGTCGCTAAAAATTCAAATTAAAGTCCAAATACGAAATAAAAATTATTATTTTAATTTTTAATTTTATTTATTTAAAAATAAATAAAATTAAATTAAAATAAAAAAAATTGCATTTAGACTTTAATTTTCTAGTATAAAAAGTATAAAGTGAGGTTAGGTAGCTTTAGCGCTGCCTGCATTTATCGAATTTTGTATGGTCCAAAAGGGATTTTTACAGACTAGGATGTAAAAAAACTTCACCTGATTGGTATATACTATTTTGTTCAACGATTGAGAAATTTGGCCTTAGGATAAAATGAAAAATTCATCCGAATGGAAATGGTCATTACTGAAGAGTTGAACACTTAACTTTTTTAAATTTTATCAAAGAATTTAGTACAAGTTTGTATAACCACAGATTCCATGACAAATGTCAGTGTCAATTAATTTTTAAGAAAATAATGATAAATAGAAAATTACAATCTTGTCGTCTCATTGGACGGTTACTGAAGAAAGAAATGAACTTTTTCCACAGTTTACGACTATGAATCATAGTCTATGATATGATAAAAAAATATTTTTACAGCCTAGGAGTTAATCGTATACTTTGGTAGTGAGCGTTGACAATAACAAGGCTTAAATTATAGAACGCTTAAAGATAAAAGTTATTTAATGAAAATGCAAAATCTATTACAAGTTGAAGTAATTGTAATTTTGCCTAAGAAAAACAAGTTTCTGAGCCAGTCCAGTTTCAATAAAAATATATATTTAGAAATATCACCATCACAAACTCAAACACCTAACTGTTACTGTTACTTATATTATTACCATTACCATATTACTCAATGTTATTACTGTTTGTCCTACTACCGGTAGATACTGATGGTTTTTCCATCTCTACACAGAATTCTCAACTTATAATAAGTCGATTTAACTCAACTATTCCCTTAAAAATCTTCGACATTTACTGTCATTTGTATTCAGTACGGTATCACAATATATAAATAATTATTATCACAATTTAGAAGTTATTTAAACTAATTAAGTATTGATATTTTTCTGTTAAATCTACTGGAAGAGCACTTCGTATTTTTGGTACACATTTTAATACCTATTTGTCACATAATATGTTATTTGATAGAAGTTATATCATGTAGAACCTAGGTCACATACCTACACTGAATAAAAACAAATTTGCAAACTGACAAAAAGCATTTAATATTATTTCCTATGTGTGAACCGGTCTCGCTTCGCAGACACATCTACTTAGGTCTTAAATGGAATGGAAGTAATAAAAATATTACTCTATGGGAAAAGTGGCTTAGCAAAATTGGCGTTATTGGAGTAAATCCAATCCACAAACGACAGAAGAAGCTCCTTCACATCATCCGCAAGTAGTTTTGTATGGATTATCGATCCTTTTTTAACCAGTAAGGAAGAAGAGTTACCGATAATAAAGAACGTCTAGTTTATAATGAATACATTAAATATTAATTAAATATTTTTAAAAATAATTCACATACTTAAAAATTATAGAATTATAGAAAATTGGGTGTAATCAAGTTACAAGTAACAATATTATAATATACGTACTCCCACATCATGATTAAAAGATTTGTATCATGCTCCTACATATTATCTTCATTACTTATGTTTACTTAATTACCTAAATAATTGCCTATTTGATTTTAAAAGTTAATTTAAAAGTAGAAAATCTTTAAACTTAAAAAAAATATTTTCTTAAAAACAATATATTTTATTTTTAGTTAGGTACAAATAAATGTTTAATACCTAATAGCAAGAAAAATCTAAAAGTAAATAGAATTGAATGAAGAAGGTACTATTAAATTACTCTTATTCTTTACATTACATCAAGGAAAGAAAGAATTTATAATAAAATGGGGTTAGGACATGTACTCTTTTATTGTATACAATATACATATTTAAAATGTACCCATTGGAATTTGTCATAAAAAAATTCCAACAATTTTTGATAACGCTGCGATGACCTTGAAGAGGGACGTAACGAGCTGTTATTATAACAGTCGTGTCAAGACTTACGAATGAAGTTTATGCATAAATTTAAAATTCCGAACAAATTATTTAGCAAAAACTTGTATTTTGAATTTCAAATGACATTGTAAAGTCTTTAGTGCAAAGTTAATTGTATTGTTCTTTTTTGTGCACTCTACAGCTCCTACTTAATGTTTTATTGTTTCGCCTTGTAAACATTAAAAGCTTAAAATTAAAAAAATACGTAACAAAACTGTTGCGATATACTCAGAATTTATTTGAAGGCCGGGTTTGTATTTGAGTGATGAAACCAGTTTAATTTTACGTCAAAAAATAAAATGTATTATATTAGAAACCAAAAACATTTAGTTTTATTTTGAATTATGATAAATGTTATTATTTTAATAAATAATCACACTAGGAAATTGATAGAAAAGCAAATACCTAGTTTTAATTATTTTTACAAATACAATAATTCCTAAAACAAACTTATCAGTATCTTAATATAAGTTAAATATTTAAAGTTATTCATTTAAAATTGAAACTTTAAATAGTAACTAAGGGGCTAATCAAACAATAACATTTTGATTTAGCTAATGGCAGTGCAAATAACATGATAAGAATTCCGTTAGCGTTTATAATAAAAAAGCAAGAATATGTGTATCAAGTCTTTGAATTAATGACAATAAAACAATACATTTTTAGAGTAATTTACAAATTGTTTCAAACAATATTTTATTCTCCAGTAAATATATAATATTTTTATATATTTACAGGGTGACAATTTTAAAACTAGTATTTCTTTATCTGATGACTAGGGTTGGGACAGTTGAAATTTTCAAATGAAAATTTCAACTTTGAAAGTTTCAAACTTGAAATATTTCCTCGAATATTTCATTTAGTTGGAAAAGTGAAATTTTTGAAAATTTCAAATGAAATTTTCAATTCGAAAATTTCAACATTGCCTGTGAAACTTTCAGAAATTTCGTTGAAAGTTTCGGAATTTACTGAAAATTTCGCATAAATTTCACATGCGGCCTCCCCTGGGACCTTTAATAATAATTTACAACAGATTCCGAATCTACCAATAAGAACGAGTTATCAAGCGTCTGGGCGTTTTTGTTTAGTTCGGCTTGGATTTGAATACACTATAAGTAATTATTGTTACCATATGCATAAATTAATTTAAATAATTTAATTCAGTTACCAATTTAATTTGTAAATTAAATCATGATTAATTTAAACTTTTACTTTTTGCTATAATTGTATCGTAAAACGGATAAAAAAAGCCTTTGGCTCATAAAATTTTGATGAAGTTTCTTCAATTTTTGTAAAATTTCAGTAAAATATATAAAAATAATAAATATAAAACAATGAAAGTGGCACAATCTTATTAGCTTACCAAAAAGTGCTATATCTCTCTTAGTTTTAGTAATTTAAAAATATTTTAAACGGAAATCTCAAGAAATTTGTGGTAAACATAGGTATTTACTATTTATATTATTGGTGCAGGGGCCCACAGAGGGGTAGGAGGTAAGAGAGGCAATTTTCCATGGTCACCGAGTGGGCTTATTTCAATATTAATATATTACACTTAAAGTGATTGAAATTTATTAAAAGTTTCAATAAATTTCATGAAATTTCAGACATTTAGGAAAATTTCAAGTGAAATTTCAAGTACAAGTAAAAAGTAAAATTTTCCCAACCCTACTGATGACACTATGAAAATTTGGCGAAACACGTTAATTTACAGATCAAGGGGGACAACTGTTGAGGTATTTGTTGTTGTATTACATTTAACCCTCTGACCTCCAGAGCACCGACCCCTAAAATAGCAACCCCTATTTATTTTACCGTTTTTTAAATTCTTATGTTATTCTAGATAAGTTACATTTTTTGCCAAAATTGAAGTGGTTATAACCTCACAAATGTATGGAATGTATTTAGTCTATAAATTAAAATACTGCTAGTGATAATAAAGATAATATAATTACTTCATTAATTGTTCAAAATGGTTTCCATTGTTTTGTAAGCACAAGTACAACCGATATTTAAACTGTTTGCGGACGTTTTGAAGTGTCTCTTTTAAAATAGCCCTACATTCTTGCACAATCCTTTGTTGGAGTTGTTCAATTGAGTCCGGTTGTTTCGCCAAATTGTTATAGTCACCCTGCGTATATAAATATTTATATATACACCTCTAAAACGCCTTTACCAATCTTTATGAAATTTTGTATAAAAATACTTCAACTTTATCTCAGTTTACGTGTTCGAGGGTTTTTCAAAAATATATTTTTAAAGCCCTTTAATTAAATATTAAGAAAACGTTCTAAAAATAACTTTTAAGAAAATTAAAAATTTTTGTTAGCTAAGTCGTCTAAAAATTACCATTTTTCAGCAGGGTATACTAACAAAAATACGGTCTTTAACACCATATTTTTAATTTACTTAAAAAAATTCTCTAAAAGTTATTTTTAGAACGTTTTTTTTTATTATTTAATTAAAGGGCTTTAAAAATATTTTTTTGAAAAACCCTCAAACTCGTTAATTTTGACGGGCAGTGTATATTAGGGTGCTTCATTTTAGAGCGACATTTTTTTTTTCAATGTCCCACCTGAAAATCTTATAACCGGTCAGAAAACAAAAATTTTGAGCTATTACAAAGCTCTTAATCTTTATTTTAAGCCGTTGCTATTCAATTTTTAAATATTTCCCTTTAAAAACCATTAAAAAACAATGTTTTATTCTTTTCTCCCTCCGCTCGTACAGTAAGAATATTTTTTTCGAATTTCGGTTCTAAAATCTTTATACATGATGAAATTATCTTCAAAAATGTCTATTTAAGCAAGTCTGTAAGTTGAATATGTTCTTCACAAATTGCTGTTCTACTCGAAAATCTTCTACAATAGCAGTAAATCGTATTTGGAGACTAAAGTATTGATTGTAGATAAAAAACGTAAATAACAATTTTGTAGGGATTATTGTGCTCTACAAATTTGTCAAAAAATATTTTTCTGTATCACTTATAGTTTAGCTTGTACAGCCACTCTTTCACGTAACTCTAATAGTATAGTTATTACAGTCAGAAACTGAATTTTTAAGAATTTGACACTTTGGGTGGCTGTACAAGCTAAACTATAAGTGATACAGAAAAATATTTCTTAACAAATTTGTAGGGTACAAAATTCCCTACAAAATTGTCATTTACGTTTTTTATCTACAATAAATAGTTTAGTCTCCAGTTACGATTTACTACTATTTTAGATGATTTTCGAGTAGAACGGCAATTTGTGAAGAACCTATTCAACTTACAGACTTGCTTAAATAGACATTTTTGAAGATAATTTCATCCTCTATGAAGATTTTAGAACCGAAATTCGAAAAAAATATTCTTACTATGGAAGCGGAAGGAGAAAATAATAAATCATTGTTTTTTAATGGTTTTTAAAGGTAAATATTTGAAAATTGAATAGCAACGGTTTAAAATAAAGATTAAGAGCTTTGTAATACCTCAAAATTTTTGTTTTCTGACCGGTTACAAGATTTTCAGGTGGGACATTGAAAAAAAAAATGTCGCTCTAAAATGAAGCACCCTAGTGTATATATTATATATATAGATATATATATATATATATATAATCAGGACAAAACCGTATGTCTGACGACGTTTCAGTACAATCCCATATACGTTTCCACCAGCAGCCCAGCAGATAAGACCTGAAGATGGTACATGAGATTGTACCGAAACGTCGTCAGACATACGGTTCTTTTAAGAACCAAAAACAGACAACACGGAGCAGATCTCGGAAAACCATTAATACATAATATGTAATAATATTAATATAGATTTTTTCTTAAAACTCTATTTTTGAAGTCGGTAGGCACGATTTCTTAAAACTAATGCACATTTCTTCTAGATGCAATCCACTATTGACTAAACAAAGGATTTTTTGATCACAACCTAATTTAGAATGCCGAAAAATTTACTTATTCGAAGTTAACTTTTCATTATATTTATTAAGTGTCCAAACAGCAGTTTTTTGTCTACAGAACGTAAAATTCCTGTACATTGGTTGCTATGTACGCAAAATACTTTTTACATCCTTTGCTATGCACGCAAAATACTTTTACATCCGTTTCAAAATTGTCTACCATTTTTAGTAATTTATAAACTGTGACATACCTACCGTTTACGAAAAAAAAGTTGTTTGATACTCGATTGCAAAATTCTTTTGTATTCTCGCTGTCGCTCACCAAAAAAACTTTAATTCTTGAATGCAAAAGTGTCATTTCGCAATCTAGCATAAAAAATAACTAGGTATTTAATTAATCATTAATAGGGATGGGATATTTAGGTACTAAAAACTGAAAAATAGTTAACTAAAAAGGTACTAAAAAAAAGCATTTTAGGTTAAAAAAACAGCATTTAAGGTAAAAAAAAACATTAAAAGTTCAAGTTTCGTTTATTTTTATAAAATAAGTAACGTAAAATATTTTTTTTATAAACTGAAAATTAAAGCTGTAAGGAACTGGATAAAATATTGGCGCAAAATTTAAAAAGAACACAAAAAAATAAAATAAGTAAAAATACGTAAAAATAGGTAACAAACAGGTGAAAATAAACTAACAAATTAAAAAATAGGTAACAAAAGTATAAAAAGGTAGTTTAAAGCAAAAACCTCCAAAAAAGGTAAAAAAGGTGAAAACAATTTTAAAAAATAGGTAACAAAAGTATAAAAAAGGTAGTTTAAGCCAAAAACCTCCAAAAAAGGTAAAAAAGGTGAAAACAAGTTAGGTTCATATAAAAGAAAATCTTTTAAAACACATTTTGGCATTATTGGTTTTTAAATAGTTACATCGGTTGAAAAAAGGTAAAATAACTAAAATCCCATCCCTAATCATTAATCATTAAAAGTTGGCTACTACCTTATATCTATTAAGTGTCAAAACAATAGTTTTTTTGTCTACAGAACGTAAGTCTTTTTTCTACGACCATTATGTAAAAGTCACATTTCGTAATGGCATCGTTGCCTAGAAAATGAAAATGTTATTTATTTTCAGAGGACGTAATGAACCCTTTTTTAAAATCGTATACTAACAAAAAATATTAGTTTTTTTTATTTTGGATAAAGCTATCATGAGTTATCCTGCCTAAAGTGATAATACTTTTGTCCAAGTTGTCTCTTAAAACTAGTTTTCAACGGCTTAATATTCAATTTTTTTAAATGATTTTATTAAAGTTTATATTATTATTTGAATTAATTAATTATTTTGTAATATTAAAAAAAGGAAAAATATTCTTTTCTGACCCTCGAAACCTATGTAACTCCTTAATAAGCTTTAATATAATTGATTCGTAGATTTTCCTGTTGCTGTTTCTGCTGCTTAACCTGGCCAGCTACGGCATCCTGCGCTACTGCCGTAGGCAGGGCCGCGAGGACTACTACAGCTCAGACGAGGACGAGGTGATAGTGTTCAGGATCAGCACGTGGATGTGCACGTTTTCCCTGGCTGTCTCGATTGGAGCCGTGCTGCTGCTTCCCATCTCCATCGTGTCGAACGAGGTGCTCATCCTCTACCCCAACAGCTACTACATCAAGTGGCTGAATTCCTCTCTTATACAAGGTTAGTTTAAGGTTATTAGGATGTTTCATGGTAGTTCGAATTTCGTATAAGGTGCAAGCCCAGGAAAAACTTTCATGTTATCTAGGAAATGAGCTTTAACAGTTTGGATTTACCCGGTACAGGGCCGATTTATCCATTAGGCAAGAAAGGCAGCTGTCTAGGGCAGCAGGCTGATGAAGGGCGGCAAAATTTTTAATGAAAATATTATCCGAAAATGTAAAAAATGTATCTTAAATATGCATTTTGTATTTACTACTCTGATTGGGCTGATTTGTTTACCAAACGACAGCCTTTTGGGCGAACGCAGTCAACAATACAGTTAAAACATGATACAACCAACAAAAGATACAATCTCTAGCAGTCGTGGTCAATACAACTGCGATATTTAAATAGCTATCGGTGTCAGCCTTACTTCAGGGCTCCCAGTAGGTAGTTTTTTTAAAGACTTGTCTATATTTTTGTCGTAAGTCTATAAAAGTCTATTTTTTTACCTAAAGTCTATATTTTCTATTAAAATCAACTATTAAAAAAACATATTTTTTTAAATATACATATTCACAGTTTTATAAATATCGAAACCACAGTAAACCAAGTGAAACATTCGAAAACTTTGCAGTTTACATTTAAAGTTCCCGCCGTCCAGAGCCGACCCGCCCGCCAAAATTATTGCTGAATTGTTTCTGGTTGGGTCTAGGGTTTCGTTTACGTTTAAAGTTTCGGTTCGCTAGGTCCCCACTAAAGCAATTTTTTATATAAATGTGATTCTATTTATTATAATTTATAATTTATTACAGAATTTAATATTTTTTTTGTTATTTATGTATTTTTTAACAGATATGGTTACTTTTTAAATTTAATTCAATAAAAATTTATAATTTCAAGTTATCTCTATGTATTTTAAATTTAAATTTAGATCTTTTATCCCAAAAAAAAATGTATACCTCCATTTTATAGTTATTTCGGTAATTAATTTGGTCTATATTTGGTCGTTTATTTTTTATTATTAGTCTCTTAAGTCACTATTTCTCGCAACATGGACTGCTGGGAGCCCTGCCTTACTTACTTAAAATTGTATGTAATAATAATGCAATAATAATAAGATAAAATGAAAATCGAAACATTTTACGTTATCATCGATGTACTCCTGGGAGATCTAAAAAGACGCTTAGTTGCTTACCAATGTATTAAATACGTCGTATTTATGAGCGATTTTATGTACTAACAAATTTGTGCAACTTGGAAAATGAATCAATAGTTAAAGAAAGAGAAAAGTTAATAAACATTTACGAAAATGATTGAGATACTTCGTTTATTCAAGAATGCATTAATTTAAAAGCGCTTTTAGAAAAAAAAATTAAATCTCCTTTTTAAATATTTAAGAAAAAATGGATTAAAAGAAACATTCCCCAATTTCGACATAGCATGTCGAATTTACTTGCTTCATCTGAAAGATCATTTTCAAAACTGTCAAGGATTAAAAACAATTTTAGATCGACCATGAAGCAAGAACGTATAAATGCCCTCTCCATTTTGTCTTTGGAATGCCATGTCACAAAAAATACCCTTTTAAATATTTTATTTTTTATTTAGAATTATTATTTGTCTTTGTATTTGTATATTTTTATTACCACTAATCAGTGTTAAAAAGTTGTTTTTAGAGTTGAATATCTTTTAAAATAAAAATATGTAATACAAATTTTTACTTGTTCTTTTATTAGTGGAAGGGGGCAGCAAAAAAATGTGCCTAGGGTACCAATTTGCCTTAACGCGGCCCTGACCCGGTAAATTAAGTAAATGGCAATAACAGTATCAGGACGTAGCAATACCGTAAAATAGTATATTTTCTAACAGGCAAAGAAAGGGCTTATATTATAGCCGAGCTCAGTGTAGATCTGAGCGAGGCAGTTAAGCATTTTCTTCGCTATGTTTTATTTACTATTTTTTAAAGCGTTTAATAATTCAGTACATTGGAGTTCTTGATTTTGCGATATTTTGTCATAGGTAGATAAGGTTGACGTTTGACATTATTGGTTATGTGCAAGAATTTATTCTACAGTGACCTATAATTACAGTTACCTACACTGATTTTGAGATAATGCGATAGACAGAGAACCTACAGTGTGGCCCATTTAAAATGGAAACACCCCCGTAACTTTTTTATTTGTTACTAGATTTTAATGAACGAAGGCTCAAAAGATAGAGAATAAAAAACTTTATCTAAGCTATAAAAAATATTTTCAATGTAACTTGACAGATGAACTTTTAATAACTATTTCAGATAAGTTTATTTTACCACGTTATAAACATAATATTTCAGCATGGCTATCTTAGTTTTTTGTTTTGTATCAATTTATGTTTATAACGAAAAATAAACTTGTTTGAAATAGTTATTAATAGTTAATTTTTGATGAAATTAGGTTTGTACCCATTCTGAAGTATGCCGCGTTCAGTGGCGTACTTATTTTTCTCCCAAACCTTCTAAATATGTCTTATTTTTCGTTATAAATATTTAAAAAAAACTTCGTCTAAAATAGTTAATAATTGTTCGTTTTTAATGAAATTTAGTTTGGTCCCATTTTGAAGCATGTCGCGTTCATTGACGTACTTATTTTTTTTTTTTAAACGACCCTAATAATTTTGTCAGAATTTTGACATAGAAAAAATGTTATAGTAGGCACTTGTCAAGTAATATTAAAACCATTTTTTATAGCTTAGATAGATTTTTATATCCTCTATCTTTTGAGCCACAAAAATTGAAGGTTTTGACTTATTGAAAAAACATTTTTTTGTTAATTTTATTGTTTTTTATGGGGTTGATCCAAGGTGTAAATTACTCTAAAATTAGCGAGACAACGTTTAGCGTTATATAGACATTGTGCTCTGATTTTTCATTATTCGACGCTTATCAATAAGAATCACATCCTTATTGATAAGAAATTTCTCATAGCGACGCGTTGCCTTAGCCTCGAGCGGGGTTAACGCAGCCTTTTGAAAGAAAATTGCATGATTCTTTCCAACCGCGAAATTGAATTAATACTGATTTTTTATGGATTAAGATTTTTCTACTGGTATTTTTTTATTATTTGGTATGGTGTAGTAATTATTGTACAGCGGTGTATAATAATTTGACTTTTGAACTGCGTACAAATATGAATATAATTATATGCTTTTTTTGACGAATTTTTACCCCCTGTACAAAATAGTAGCTTTAATGCAAAAATGATAGACAAAACTTATTACATGACACCCTGTATCATTGTGTTTAAATTTAATTTTTAATTACAAATGCAGTATTTACATTATTTTAAATATTTAGCAGGGAGCTGTTCATAATAATGTATTTATGCTAAATATGTCTAATTTAGATATGTAAATTTAATTCATAGTTTACTAGTTACAATACCTTATTTGTTCCACTTAATTCGTTGTATAAATGAAATTAAAAACAAATTGTTTTATAAAGCAAAATTTTTGTCTTTTTTCTTTTTTGTACAAAGTGAGGTTAATAAAAATTATGTCTTGTAAAGTTGAATTATAGATTGCCTTCCTTCCTTTCTTCCTTCCTCCCGTAGAAGATGAACATTACGTAATTGCCACCATTAACACCGTGGAATATTTATATTATTATTTAATGCCAATTTATGTACATGAATTTATTTTTTATCCAGCTGTAGCATACTGCCGTGCTAATTTTTATTGTTTTTAACAATTAAAATTATCTTTTGTCCTTTATTACTCAATATTGTACAGGGTGATCCCCTATAATGTCGCCCCCCTTTAACTTTTTTATTTTAAGTGTCCCAAAAAATTTAAAAGTGGTTATGTAGGAACTAAAAAATACTTTTTTTCTACGTATAAAGAAAATTTTAAAATTGATCAGTATACAGGGAAAAACATAAAGCTTATTTTTTTTCAATGGATCACCCTATATATGAATTTATTTTTCGATTCCTTGTAAAATTCTGAGCATAATTTATATAACAAACCATATACCTAAATTCAACTGTTTCTGAAATATTCGCATTCGAAATGTCATCATTAAATGTTTTTTTAAACTGTTAAAAATCAGTATACCAAAATTTTTATTGAAAATAAATTACTATAGTGACATTATGTCAATATGTGTTGTTAAGTAAGTAAAAATGGCGTACTCAGACAGAGAAAGACAAACTATTTCAACTTATTATCTTAAAAATAATTTAAATATTTCAGAAACGGATGAATTTAGGTATATGGTATGTTATATGAAATATGCTTAAAATTTTACAAGGAATCGAAAAATAAATTCATATATAGGGTGATCCATTGAAAAAAAATAAACTTTTTGTTTTTCTCTGTATACTGATCAATTTTAAAATTTTCTTTATACGTAGAAAAAAAGTATTTTTTAGTTCCCACATAACCACACTTTTAAATTTTGTGGGACACTTAAAATAAAGAAGTTAAAGGGGGGCGACATTATAGGGGATCACCCTGTACATACGGGCTTAGCATGCTGGTCCAGTTTATATCATCAGAATTTTACCAGTAGATAGTTCAATACACAAACATTTTTAAAATGGAACAAATAATTTAATTTAATTATAAAATTTACCAGCGTGCGGAAAAAAAATGTTTCTATAAAGGCCGCATGATTAGAAAAAAACAAAAATACTAAACAAAACTTATTTGCTTTAGACATGGATGGAGACAAATTTAGATAATTTATATTTTATATTTCAGGGTACTTCAAATAATGCACGTATAAATATTAAAAAATTAATATTGGCAAATCATAGCATACAGTTAACTATTCATTAGTTATTCTTTTTTCTAAGAATCTGGTTAATTTTTTGTTTTTTTATTAATAAATATTTAATTTTAAAAACTTAATAAGGGAAATTGACAAAACCTGCCCACTAAATTTCACAAATTTGGTTTTGTTTTTTCACCACCAGCGACGCTGATTGTCGATGCGTACTGACGTCTGCTGTTTTGTTAGCGTTTTGGTACAAATCAAA